CAACCCCCCCCCCCCCCCCGTCCCCGTTTTCTTTTGCGTAAACTACAGAGCCGAAAAATCATGAATCTTTAACTGCGTTATGTGTATTTCGTCCCCGTTTTTTTTCACCTTGACAGTACAAATTCTCCGCCTCACAACGCCATCACAACGGCAATAGCACCGCTGAGCCCAAGAACTGCTAACAACCCTTTCTCTAGATCGACAGTTACAATCGGTGCCGCATTTGTCTGCAAACCAGGTGGTCTTTGCGATGGGGATCCTTGTGAATTAGTTGGTGAAGGCTGGACAACGATGACCGATGTAATCGTACTGGGAGACCCATCTGAATTTGTGGTCGGGATGAGCGTGGTTGAGGTTCGCGGAGGAGTGGTGGTCGGGTTGTTGGTAGTGAGTGGTGTGGACCTTGAGCTAGATCCACGGCTGGGGTTGTTTATGGAACTGGGTGGTTGGGGGGTTGGTTGGGGAGTTGGAGTTGGTTCTGGAGGCCTCTGAGAGTTGGTAGTTTCTGGAGGGGGTGGTGTCGTTGTCGAACTTGGGGGTGGAGGAGTGGTTGTTTCCGGAGGTGGCACGCTAGTAGTTGTGGGATCGGCTGTTGAAGTTGATGGTGTAGGTGTTGGGGTGACGGAGCTGTCCCTGCCCGGGGTATCAAGGGGCGTGTTAATGGATGTTGGTGGAACGCTGTCCTGTCGTTTGGCTAACCCATGTGGACGAGCAATGATATAATCCTCGAGGTATTTATCTCGGGCCCAGATCCTAGCTGGGAGGCCCTTGAAGAAACTGGAAAATGGTGTATTGGAGCGGGCTTGTCGCCCTCTTTGCAGGTCAACAGCGCACGCTGAAGTGATTAGGAGAAAGCCTAGGAGGAGTATCGAAATCCGCGGTCGAATCATTTTGATTCGACCACCGTGGAATGATGAGCAGAGATAGAGATATAACTCTCAATATGGGTTTGGATTGGTACGGATAAGGAGAGAGCAATGAGGGGCCAACAGCCGATGCTCTATGGGATATAGAGGAAAAGCCAGGTAGTTAAGCTGACGAATGCATAGAAGAAATGATGCAAAAACAAAAGGATTTGCTAGCTCTAGAAATATTCAAAAACGCAGAGAGTCAGCAAGAGCAAGAACAGTAGTGAATTGGGAGAAAGGAAAGTTGCGAAAAAGGTATACCGAAAGAGTAAACGAAAATAGAAGAAGCTGTGAGACAACGCTTCACCAATGCATGTAACCGGATAGAGAAACAAAAGTAGTGTAAGTCGAGAAAGATTTCCGTTGAGATGGGTGAAGAAACGCGGGAGGGTTTTATTTACGCACAACTGTTTATATATTGTTTATCGTGAACTGCATCGGCCTGGTGGGGAAAATTTTTAAGGTCTGGTGTCATAGCAACAACCTTACAAAGTATACAACAACACAAATGGCTTGTCGGACCCGGATGAGCCAGCTTTTGAGGCCGAAAAGCAGGTCTCAAAAGTGTTCCCAGGTTGTCTGCAGGCTCCTTCGCAGTGCAGGTCTTCTCCACGATCTGACGTTCTTGTTGGGGCCCTGCAATGATTACAGCAAACCAGAAGCCAAGCGGGTGAAGCGAGGGCGGAATGGTTGGATTTTGGATTTCCCTCTCGCTGGTCCACTTTATAAATATACCGGGCTGGCAGTAATGGCGCGACAGCGCCACCGCCTAGGCGACAAGTTTCCATGGAAAAACCCAGATCTATGTTGCTGATTGGCGCTGTTGTCTGTAGCCACCACCAGGCTGGCGCCAGTCTCCAAGCGGTCTCTAAGGGCTCCATACTGTGAGCAAGGAAGTTGAGCGTCACTGCGATACTGGGTAAGCCTCAACTTCGATTTGCATGAGAGTGGTTGATGTAGACCAAGCTTGGGAAACTGAGACAGTTGTCGCACCACCCGGCGCGGATACGATCCATATACGAGGTTGCGAGCATCGGATCTGGCTGAGCCTTATCATAGTGTCTGATGAACTGTAAATCCTTGCTGTCGAATTGAAACACAGAAGAATTAGACCTACGCGGTCGAGTCCCACAATATGGCCGTTGATCCAATGGATCGATTTTGCTATGGTCGGCTACAGCCAAAATCAGAAAATAACTCCAAAAAAAATGGTTAGACCCGCTCCTCCTACCCATTCTGTTACAGATCTCTACGGCAAGCCACTGCTGTTCGTCGCGCTGATTTGATCTTGTTTGTTGATGAACTCACATGCGCCAAAAACAGCAGCAGTTCCCAAGGTTCTGACATGGAACTGTTCCGGGTTTCTAAATAAATAAGCTCCAGCTAGTTAGTTCCTCAACGGCTCAGAGCCTCCGATCGATCCTGACTGTGTATCGGCGATTCTGCACTCTCTGTGTCCTCTCCTCTCGGCAATTCGAGATGCCCAGAAGGGAATCAAGGCCTTGAGCGAGCATGGCTCATTCTCTGACATCCAAAAAAGCCCAGACTCTTTTAGCTGAATGGGGGGAAGAGAGAGGACGTCATTAGTACATGTACCAACCACATCAGGCCACGTCAAATGGACGAGGAATAAATGCTGGCTGAAACGTTCGGTCTTGCTCTGCTGTGGCAAAGAACCGGATGCCCAGGTGTAGGTGAATATCATATCCACGCGTTCCATGCAGAGAAGCGCTTGCTGATTCCATTGCGCGGGTCGTGATGCGTGAAACCTGTGTAGCATTCCAATGGGCCGTCCGAACGGGGGAATCAGGCACGTAACTAAACCTTCACGACTCAACAAAAACCAATCTGTAACTTTATATCTTCTCATGTTTATATTTATCTCTGTTCTAGTTTCATGGTCAAACGCTCAAAAAACTCATTCAGAGCTAGTTTTTTCCCCTTCCTTTTGGCCCTTTCAGATTGAACAAGTTTATGTTTTTTTTATTTCAGAAAGGGCGGCACAATAATGTCGCGTTGCAGGCGTTCTCCATATACGCACGTACTCAACTAATTCTACTTTGGCGACTTTTGAAGCCACCTACCTGCCTGTTGCCATATTTCATAGTCGCTATTGGTTCCATTGATGTTGACATCGTTGTTTCCCAATTGCTTACTCCATACAATATCTCAAACATAACCAATTTGATCAATATCAATAATCCCGTCCATATCCCGATGTCTTTAATCAGCTAACACAAACGGAGCGTCTTTCTCTATGTTCATATGCCGTAATTCCCCGGGCTTTGCTAGTAACAATCATGGATATGCAGATTGAAAAAAATAATTCTACTCCGTCTTGATGGAGAATCCCTAGGAATTCCTGGCCTTCCGGGTGGTTTCCTCA